CGATCCGTACACTTGCGGTAATCAACGTCGAACACATTTTCGACGTGTCAAATGGCGTACGAAACGATCAATCGTAGCAAATGCTATGACTTGTCAAAGTAAGTCGTTCAAAATTTGTATTTCGAAAATTTTGATAACATGCTATTAAAAATTGTTCGACGATCGTAAGCTAATCGAATTTACAAATTGCTTATATCATCTCAAAACTTATTTCGAGAACTACATTTTTGGCATATCGAATAATTCAAACAGATATCGAAAATAGTTAAAAATATGTTAAAACGTAACTTTTAAATAAATGCGTCTAACTAGCATTTTTAAAAAAAAAAAAAATCAATTATCTCATTAACATTTATTATTTTTTGTAATACAAATTTCTCGATGTAATTTTCATCATTTTATTAGGAAATTTTATATGGAATATGACAAAGATTTTTCGAAATTTTATATCTGAAAAAGTCATATCCCATATAAATTTTCAGATGTAAATTTATATGAGGTATGATTTTTTGGACGTAAATTTTCGATTGTAAAATTTCTCTCAACTTCTTTGTAGGTTTGATTGTACAATAATAGACTATAGCATGCTTAGACCAAAAGTTGCAGTCACAAATGCACTGTAAACTTATTCCCTTAATCAGCCTTAATTGTACTGTATAAAGGATTTATCAGGGGACTGTTACAGTATTCGATTTTTTGGAAGTTTTTTTCTGATTGTTTTTGCCATCAAAGTATAGCTATCATCCGTCACACAAAATATCCATCCTAGCCGAAAACTGCTTTTTTTGTTCATGTTGATCTTATTGCTTATAATTAATCTTTAATCTTCACTGGAAATCATTGAGTTCCTAAGTAAGGACTGAAAATTCAAGAAACTCCTAGGTCTAGAAGAGACACGTACCGTATTCAAAGCATTGCTCAAAAGTCAAGTCTGCTAAAACTGTAACATGTCTTTCATCTGAGGCTGCTCTAACTGTAAACTGTTAGAACTTTAATAAAACTTAAACTTTATGATCTTGCCAAGATCTTCATGTCAAACCATCAAGAAACTGAATTGCCGCGGAACATACCTTAATCAATTGATTTCTGACTTGATTAA